ACCTCACTTTCCACGAACAGGGCTTTAAACCCTAAACCCTAAACCCTAAACCCTAAACCCTAAACCCTAAACCCTAAACCCTTAACCTTAACCCCTAAACCGCTAAAGCCTCAGCGCCAAACAGGGCGGCTCCTCCAGCACCGGCAGTGGCAAAGCCCACTCCGAAGATTCCCAGCCGCAGACGATTTTGGGGTGTAGAGTTTAGGGTTTAGGGTTTAGGGTTTAGGGTTTAGCCGCTACCGACCCTTAGAGAGACGTTTCATGGCTGCTAGGTGTAGTATAAACCCAACGGTTATCACAAACTTGTGTTTGATTCGGGCCCCCGAGCCCTAAACCAATCCCAATGCATGCATGAGTCCGGATCGTAAATCAATGGCCTTGCATACTGGGGTAAGTTGTCTTTACAGACAGTGCATTCCCTGAAGTTGGCGCTTGATTCCACCAGAGACTGCATTGCAAAGGGTACATGCCGGCCTCTTGCAGACACTCGTGAGCCGATCTATATCCCAAGGAATTCGCCGGCAAATCCTTCAAGCTGACGTTGTTTTCGGTTTGTCAAGCTAGATATTGCCTGGTAAGAAGCGGTCAACCCCTCGGCCAAAACCCTATAAACCCTTTTCCAATCCCTGAAACCATAAGCTCTTTCGAGCCTCAGCCCCTTGTCAGTCCAGAATACTACACCCTAGGGTTCAGGATTTAGGGTTTAGGCTTCCTAGCCCTAAGGAGGCATCGAGTTTCCGGCTTGAGGGCAAGGCTTCACACCCCCGAAAGTAGTATGGCAAATGCGGCCTCCTGGCTGTGAACCAACCCTAGGCCCTAATTCCTAGACCCCGCGCCCTAGACCCGATACTCTAAACCTAGAGCCAGCGCGTTGCCCATGAGCACTTGCTTTTCTCATTCTTGTCAATGCTGCCGTCCTCCCAGCATGTAATCTCTGCACCGAAGCCCCACACGTCACACGTTGTGGGCATCGGCGAGAATTATCTCCAGAACACCCTGAACCCTAAAACCCGAACCCGTAAACCCGTAAACCCCTAAACTTAATTAAACCCCTAAGCCCCAAACCCCTCAACCCCTAAACCCCAAACCCCTAAACCTCAAACCTCCAAAACTTCGAGTATACTCCTGAAGCCCTAGCACCCTAAACCCTAGACCCCAAACCCTCAAAAGTTGGTAAAATACTGGCCCAAGACCAATAAAAGGCTATTATCCTACATACTTCCGGGGTCCAGGTAGAAGTAGAAGCTACGCCCTAAGCCCTAAACCCTATAAGCCTTATAAGCCCCATAAACCCTATAAACACTATAAGCCCCATAGACCCTATAAACCCAAGCCCGAAAAACCCTATAAACCCTAAACACTATAAACTCTATACGTACACCCTAAACCCTCCCCTAACCCAATAAAACCCTATAAACCCTAAACCCTAGAAGCTATGCCCCGGCATTGCCCCCCAGGCCGAAGGTCAGGGTGTCGCAGGCAGCACCGAAGCCAGCGCCGAACCCAGAGGAAGTGCTTGGGGTTTTAGGTTTTTGTTTGGATTTTAGGGCTTTTTCAGGATTTCAGGGCTTTTTAGGATTTCATTGTTTTTTGGGATTTTAGGGCTTCGGGTTTTAGGGTATAAGGTCTAAAGTTTAGGGCTTTTTGGTTTTGGGGTTTACGGTTTAGGGTTTTATGGTTTAGGGTTGTTCAGTTTTAGAGTCTAGCGTCATTATGGCTCGGGTTAAGAAGTCTAGGGTCTAGTGGCTTTCGGGTTTATGTGGTTTCAAGTTCATGCTTGGGTTCGGGTTTTGAGTTTAGAAAGCAGGTCTGCTTTGCCTTTCGGCTTTGTGACTTCGGGGTTTGAGCTTAATTATGCAGGGGGTTGTTTAGGGTCTAGGGTGTACGTACTCTGGATGTAGGGTTAAGGGTGGCCGCACGCTTCTCACACCGAGGATATCCCCATGTTTCTCGCAAGAAGCATCCTAAACATGAGGCGCCATGTAGACACCCCTCCGACACCACTGCACAGGTTCGGGCAGGTGCATAATTACTGTGCTTCATCAGTTCTTTGTTCCCTAAACCCTAAACCCTAAACATGCACACCTAAACTCTACACTAAACCCAAAGCCCTTAAACCCGCTGAAACCCTAAAGCCCCTAGACCTGCAGCCCCTAAACCCTATAGAACCCAAAGCCCCTTAACCGTAACGCGCCTTCCCAACCGCCCCCCCCTAAGGTAGGTCAAATAATGGCACAAGCCACAAAAGACCATTATTCTACATATTTTCGGGGTCCAGGTAGAAGCTATGCCCTAAACCCGAAATCCTAAACCCTATAAACCACCCTAAAAGCCCTATAAACTCTATAAACCCTACCTAAACCCAAAACCCTAAAAGCCCTAAACCCAAAACCCTAAAGGCCCTAAACCCCTAAACCCTATAAACCCTAAACCCTAAACCCCTCAACCCTAAACCCTAAAAGCCCTAAACCCTAAGAGCCCTAAACCCTAAAAGTCCTAAGAGCCCTAAACCCTAAGAGCCCTAAACCCTAAAAGCCCGAAACCTCTAAACCCTAAACTGTAAACCCCCTAGACCCCTAAAAGCCCTAAACCCCTATACACCCTAAACCCTAAAAGCCCAAAACCCTAAGAGCCCTAAACCTTCAGCTTTTTCACTTCACCCTATAAACCCTATAAACCTTATAAGCCCTGTCTTACCCAACCCTAGGTAAGCCCTAAACCCTAAACCCTA